ATGGCTCATTATATCAGTTATAGTCTACTCGATAGTACCTTACTACTTGGATAACCGTAGTAATTCTAGAGCTAATACATGCATAAATACCCAACTGTGTATTCGGGCGGGTAGCATTTATTAGATTGAAACCAATGCAGTCTTTGGGCTGGTAATAAAGCGAATCATAATAACTGTGCGGATCGTCCTTTCGGGCGATAAATCGATGAGTTACTGCCCTTGTCAGCTTTGGATGGCAGGATGGGGAGTAACAACAGCGGCATTAATGCATAGGGGTGAAATAGGTTTGATTCCGGAGAGGGAGCCTTAGAAACAGCTACATATCCGACGCAGTGGTGCGTAAATTACCCAATCCTGAAACAGAAAGGTAGGGGCAAGGGCTAAATGAAGAATGCTCGGGCTCTTTGAGTTGGTGACCTGAATATGAATAATGAAATTTAACGAGGATCAATTGAGGCGGTCTGGTGCCAGCCGCGGTAATTCCAGCTCCATGAAGCGTATATTAAAGGTTGCAAACAAAAGCTCGTAATGGATTTCTGCTTCGTATATAACCGGTTTACTCTCTTTGAGGTGTAACTTTTGCATGTGCATTTTTGTGAGTCTGTCTTTCTGCCATTAAGTTGGCAAGCTGATGGGTTTGCATCGCTCATTTCAGAAAAAATTAGAGTGTTTAAAGCAAGTGTTCAGTCTATATACACATTACAGTATGAATGCGCGATAAAGAATTTCGTGGTCTATTTTGTTGGTTTGCACACCAGAATAATGATTGAAGTAGGGACAGTTGGTATCTATATCGTGCTGCTCAGAGTGTGAAATTTTGATCGCTAAAGATGAGCTTAGCGAAAGCATTTACCAAGACAGCTTTGTCAATCAAGAACTTAGTTAGGGGATCGAAGATGATTAGATACTACTGAAGTCTTAACCATAAACTATGCCGACTGGATTGGTGAAATGTTGATTAAAATGACTTTGTCAGGACCGTATGAGAAATCAAAGTCTTGGGTTCCGGGGGAGTATATGGTCGCAAGGCTGAAACTTAAAAGAATTGATTAGTTAAAGGGACAATTAGGAGGGAGCCACGCTTAATTTGACTCACACGTAGAAAACTTACCAGTCCAACAGGAAGATTGACAGATTGAGAGCTCTTTCTTGATTCGCGGTGCGGTGGCATGGCCGTTCTTAGTTGCGGAGTGATTTGTCTGGTTAATTCCGTTAACGAACGAGACCCTCCGCGTGCTAACTAGTTCTGTTTACCATTTTTGGTAGGCGTGTGGACTTCTTAGAGGGACTTTTTTGGGTAATCAAACCAAAGGAAGTTGGAGGCAATAACAGGTCTGTGATGCCCTTAGATGTTCTGGGCCGCACGCCGCGCTACACTGATGCGTTCAACGAGTTTACAACCTTGATCGATAGGTCTGGGTAATCTTTTGAATGCGCATCGTGATAGGGACAGACTGTTGCAATTTTCGGGTCTTGAACGAGGAATTCCTAGTAAACGCAAGTCATCAGCTTGCATTGATTACGTCCCTGCCCTTTGTACACACCGCCCGTCGCACCTACCGATTGAATGACTCGGTGAAAAATTGGGACTGTTAGTCTGATTGCTTAATTGCGAGCGGATTGATGGGAACTTCTTTTTTTAACCTCGCCATTTAGAGGAAGGTGAAGCCCGTAACAAGGTTTCCGTAGGTGAACCTGCGGAAGGATCATTACCATACCTAAAAAACTTTCCACGTGAACCGTATTAACAATTATAATTGGGGGTGATCTTAATGGAGGCTACTAGTCATTTTGGCTGGAGGCTACTATCGAGTGAACCTTATCATGGCGAAAAACTAGACTTTTGTTTGGTGAAGTAGTGAAAATTTTAAACCCTATTTAAATACCGATTATACTGTGGGGACGAAAGTCTCTACTCTTTATTCTAGATAACAACTTTCAGCAGTGGATGTCTAGGCTCGCACATCGATGAAGAACGCTATGAATTGCGATACGTAATGCGAATTGCTAAATTCAGTGAGTCATCGAAATTTTGAACGCATATTGCACTCTTGGGCTAGTCCCACGAAGTATGCCTCTATCAGTGTCCACATATCAAACTTGGTTTTCTTTTATCGTGTATTCGATAAAGGATAAGTGCCAGATGAAGTGTCTTGCGGTTGATTTTCGAATTGACTACGGAGTCCTTTCAAATATATGACTGTACATCTCATGCTAGAAAAAGCGTGACGATACTCTTAATTCGAAGGGGCTGTCCGTGCAGACCTGTCGGTGACTAGTTTGTTAACTGTGACTATATATATGAAGAAGTATTCGATTCGCGGTATGATTGGCCGTTCGGCTGGACTACGTGTATTGGACCTTTTTTATGCAGTGAAGAAGTATCTGATTTTGATGGTATCATTGGCTGCCCGGTTGGACTTACGTTTATTGGATCTTTTTCTGGTTGTGGTAGATGAATAGGTAAACCGTAGTTGGGCATGTGTGACTTGGCTTTTGTACTTGTATTGTCAGTGCGAAGTAAAGCGTCAACTTCGGTTGTCGAGACGTTCGACCTTTTGGGAAATGTGTTGTAAAGCTTCGGCTGCACTTCACCCTCAAATGGACCTGATATCAGGAAAGATTACCCGCTGAACTTAGGCGATATTAATTGTAAGCGGAGTGAAAAAGAAACTAACAAGGATTCCCCTAGTAATGGCGAGTGAAGCGGGATGAGCCTCAAGTTTAAAATCCTTTTTTTTTTTTTTTTTTTTTTTTTTTTCTGTCACAAATTTATTTTGTGCGGCGAATTGTAGTCTATAGAGGCGTGATCAGTGTAGGTACGTGAGATAAGTTTCTTGGAAAAGAACAGCATGGAGGGTGAAACTCCCGTTCATACTTAGGTGGCTTGCACGTACGATCCGTTTTCTTCGAGTCGCGTTGTTTGAGAATGCAGCGCAAAGTAGGTGGTAAATTCCATCTAAAGCGTTAAATATTGGTGCGAGACCGATAGCGAACAAGTACCGTGTGAGGGAAGATGAAAAGAACTCTGAAAAGAGAGAAAGTTAAAGAGTACCTGAATCTGCTGAAAGGGAACCGAATCGTTTCTAGTGTCTATAATCTATGACATATTTCATTGGGAAGTATGTGCGTGTGTATACTATGGCAGCGGCTTTTTTGAGCTGCGCTTGGTGTGCGTGCTGTATGTGCTAACTGGTGCCCTGTGTTATAGTGGGACGTCAAGGTCAGTTTGTGCGACTCAGAAGGTCGTCGGAACGAAAAGTTTCGAGCAGTATTGCTCGGTCTGGTGTGTGAGGACAGTACAAGTCACTTTGACTCAGATGATCTAAGCTTGCAGTTGACACGAGGACCAAGAGGCAGGGTCTACCTTAGCTTGTAGACTCGTGCATACAAGAAGTATTGGGACTGCTGACAAGTGTAGTCATCAGACCTGCTGACAAGTGTAGTCAGGAATGGAACTTCTATGTGAGTTGCAAAGTTGTGGACCTCTATATTTTGGCTGCTGGGCTGCACTACGCACCTAAAATAACACGATCTTCATGCTGCAGTCTTCCTTCTTTAGCTGCGGGATGAAGTGGAATTGAATGAGGTCCACCATCTCAGACGCCGTGTCTTTCAGCTCCAGAATCGTATGTCGCTTCTTGTCCTTCTCCATGTCGAAGATCACGTACTTCGTATGCATCAACGACAATGCCCCCATCTCCAACAGCGTCTTCACACGCGCTGGGGGTGCCCACAGCAATCGGCAAATAGTTCCCAGCAAGCTGTTTTGCTTGTTCACTTGCCTTCAGATGCTTGCCAAAGAGCTTTGCGACACGGCACTTGAACGACGTCAAATGTCTGGGTGGGCATCGAACAAAGAGGAACAACAGTAACTATCGACAGCACGGCACCTTAGGATCTCGCAACAGCTTTGTAAACTTACTTGATCACCCCGACACAGCGTAGCGCAGACGAACAAAGAATGAGGAAGTATGGGCTCTTGTCACGACGCTTGCCCTTGCCAAGAAAGTCTCTCTTGTACGTCGGCATCAGCCAGTGGATATACGATGGCAGCAACTCGAGCTTATGCTTGCCCAGGCCTGTTGGCGCGACGAAGTGCGACTCTACACGCCACAAAAACTGACGTCAGCAGCGGTGAACGGCTATTCCATTACAAGTCCCGTTTGCACCATTGAGTCCGTCAGCCAGTTCCAGTGTCGTCATCTGTTCGCCGCGATATTTCACGTAGACGTCGTTCACGAATTTGAAATGCTCCGTCTGCGTCATCTTGTGCAGCCCCTTGCCATTGTCGTGCATTTGCCTCTTGACCTATCACACCCATTCACATGATTGACGCTCAGTTCGCATACTTTCGTCTTCTTTTTTCTACTGGTTTTGCTCACGATACTGCAATATCGAAACGTACGGTCGGGTCGGTCTTTTGTTTCTTCACAGCGTCTTCCTCCATCTCGACGTCGGCCGTCTCGGTATCGCGACTGCGCTTGACATTCAGCGCCAGTTCGAGCTCTGCTTCATCCTCGAATTCGTCCTCACTACCGGCAGAGATCACGTCCTCGTCGTTTGAGCCACCAATGACCTCCGCCGTCCAGTTCATCTCCAGCTCATCGTCATTACGGATTGTCGACATGTCGGCGACCAGTCGCTTCAATGGTGAAAAATTACAATCTGAGCGACACAATGTGCCACAATTGAAAGACAGCTATCCGGTTTATCATGATGAATAAAACTGAAGTTTGACTTTGGCTTTGTGTTTTGAACAAAGTCCTTTCGAAAAAGGACAGTGTGTCACGAGATTTACATGATTGTTGTCAAGAGACTGAAATAAGCTCGGTGAAGACGCCTGCTGTAATTGTGCTCCCTCCGCTGAACTCGAGTTTGTCAAGACGCATGATCCAGTATATCCTCGCGGAGGTCATAACTGGATCGAGCTGAAGTAAGCGCGTATGGTAAGTGAGTTTATTTGTGCAGAATGCAGATCGTGGCAAGCAAAAGGACACCGTCACTCAGCTGAGCCAACCCAACGTTTAACGATTACAGGAACCCAACCCCATGATGACTGATCTGCAGACCACTGACAAAGCAGCCCACCTACATTCTTATTATTATGTAAGGCGCAGCCGAAAAAGCGTGATGTACTTCCACCTACTCTGTCCCACGTGATTTGGTCTCTGTGAAAGTTGTGCTTACGCAGTGATTTCGAAGCGTATGCTTTTTAATGACAATGCACCAGGACGCATCAATGATGACCCGAAGCTTACCATTGTCACTTTGAGATCATTTTTGACCACATTCGATTCCCAAGATCCAGCTTATAGATGTCGGCACCATTGCGGCATTTGGGTGGTGCTATCGCCGCAATAATCTGCTAATTACGATGAAGTATGACGAGTGTGGATGGGCCGACAAAATCCACAAAGTCGAGCAGCTGTCTACCATTCGCGGGTCGGTCATTACCTGGACCTGCATCTCGCTTATCTGCAATACATTGACCTTCCACTAATTACTTTACGTCTCGCGCACGCATTAGGTCGATCGCGACTGCTCAATATATTCGCAGATCGTTGCACCTCAGCATTCACTACGGCATTGTTACCACATGGAGGATCTAGTGTACATAACCGCGGGTAGTCACGCACGGCCTTCCAAAACCTCTTATATATATACGGTACGTTGTACGTAAGGTTACGAGGTGATGCTTACACTGTGATTCGTGTGATATACAGTATCTTGAGGTGTGACAGTACACGCGTCCAAGAATATTTTATCGTGGCGGAATGAGATAGGTTGTAAATAAAACATGGATAGCGTGTCAAACATTTGTACACTGTTGTTGAACACCTTCTGTTGCCCACTATGGTTCTCTGTGTAATAAAAAACTCCTTATACGATAAATGGTGAGCCCTTAAATCGATACAGCCTAAAATGTGTGTGCATTCATACCCCATGTACACGGATTACGTGCAGAGGTGGAAATTACTTGAGCTAGAAACTGCTTCCGAGGAAACGAAAGTATAATCCAATAATTTTGTATATCCCTTCTATAAAACCATTTTCACGCTTACTAAAACGACGTAGATCGACAATCTATCATTGTAAAATCTCGCTCAGCATCCTCTGTGCGGGACGCGTTAAACATCTCCAATTGAAAGACTACATATGTCCAACTCTATCTCCAACTACACAAATGCATATAATCAGTTGCTTTTGGGTCGTAATTTGTGTTCGTCTTGATAGATGGCTAGACGACAGCGGTGCATAGCGCCGCGTCTTGCAATCAATACAAACGTATCATATATTTATAGGCGACAGTTCTCTTCCCACACCATTGCTAAACGTTACACCTTGGCGTTTGGAAATATACATAAAAAATTCCGAGCCAGAGTACTGCACTGGCGTAAGACAAGTTCGAGCCAAGGGGCTGCACTGACGCAAGACAGGTTCGAGCCAAGGGGCTGCACTGACGTAATAAAGGTTCGAGCTAAGTACGTGCTGCAAAGCTTACTGTTTACCTTCATTTGGTCATATCGCGACTTATAAAGCTACTGGTTTCTGATTTCTGGAAGGAGAATCGTCAGCAAGACAAAAGATTGCTCGAAGACGTATCCCCAGCAGTCCGAGGCCGATGCCAACGTGCGGCCTGATGTGTCGGATATAAGTAGAAAGTCGATACTATGTGTAACCACTACTGAAGCAAAGGAAAGTAGCGAATCTATAGGGCACGGTAAGAATTTAACTCAAACTCAAGAATTATTTTACGTTGCTCATGGTAACGACAGTCTAACCATTTAGAGAGTGAAGTGCAAGACTTCTTCGACTCCGACCAAGCGATTATTGCAGATAAACTTAATTTAGATGGTATGGATTCGGAGAGGAAATCGGAACTGGACACGTTAGCCTCTCATGAATCGCCTCTCATACAGCTCGGAAGAGTGGCCGACAAGCTGCACGACCGTTTTGAAGAACACACTTTAATAAGCCCCGACGCTGCTTTTAAGCTCTTTTCGAGGAATGTGGTCATAGAGGCTTCTTGTATAAGATTAAAAAGCGACATGATCAGAACAGAGCGGCGGATGATGTCAGCACCCGGACAGGAAAGTTTTTTCGGCAGACTTGGTATATCATCTGTGGCAATGCTGGATCCTGCAGCAAGGATCTCATCATTATACGAAACACCCGGAGTCGTTTAACAGGCTGCAAATGGTCTTGCCGTATCGACCTGTGCAGTATAGCTTACCAGATTACGGTGGATGGACTGCATAATCACGCCCCGGCTGAAGATATATGCCATTATCCCAGTGCTCGTCACGCTACCATGGAACAGAAAGCTTTCGTGATGGACTTGATTAAATACCGGACAAGCACTCCATCGATACTAGAGAATATCGAGGCCAATTATAGTGGAGGGTTCAGACTGATAGCAATGTGCATCATGAATATGCGTCAAAAGTATCGTCAAAAGCAGAGAGGTGAAATTCCCGGAATTGAGGCTCTGATCCGAGATCTCCAGGATGATGGTGCTATTTTCAGGACAATAGTTTTGTTGAAGTCTCATATCACTCACTTGACTAGTAATTCTAAATAGCATCCCTCAGCTGCTTTTCGAAGAACGTCGCACCGCCGTGGTGCAAATTGACGAAACATACCAAACGAACAAATATGAAGCAGGTATGACTTCATGTGTATTCATCGACCAGTACAAATATTACGTGCACATTGGCTTTTTGTTTCTACAGAGCGCAACACAAGTGGACTTGACATGGATCCTCAAGACTCTTTTGTAACAGAGTATCGAAGATTAATCCCGGTGTAATCATTATTGATGCTGATCTGTGCTTGATGAGTGCCATTGGCGCAGTCTTTCCCCAAGCCCACCACCAACTTTGTTTTTGGCATATTCAAAGCAATATTAAGGCCCGCCACCAGAGAGATATTTATTCAATCGAGGTAGAGGGAGGCATCCAGTGGACGTTTGCTGTGTTTTTTGAAGATGTGGTCGCGTTTAGTCTTGAATATATAACACCACGATCAGTTTGAAGAAGCGTGGCGTGATAGGAGAAGGCATATTCCGAGATGTCGTGAGTATATTGAACAAAGCTGGTTTATACCCTACAAAGATAAGTATTGTGCTGCTTGGCTGGTGGGAGTCGATCATTTTGGAAATATCTCCTAATATAAAGTTGAACATTGCTCATGCAACATTTAAGCAGACATTTGGAACTTCACAAATGGGGTTTTCTCCGTGTAGCCTTGCATGAAGCTTGTCTGCAAAAAATAACAAAATATCATGAAACTTACTAGATCGCGAGACAAACCATTTCTTCCTACTGTTCAAGAGCATATATTTGTGTATGTTTACAAGAATGTAGGGCTGGGCAAATCGAATATTTGTCGAACATTGAGGTCCCTTCGAATTATTTGACTCGAACTTTTGGCAGCATCAAATATTCGACTCGAAGATTGTAAGCGGCTCGAATATTCATTTCAAATAATTATAGACAAATATATATACAAGCATTCAGATAAGGAGGTAGCCAGTTTAAACCAACAGATGTGGAGTCGGTGATAATGTGGATCTATTCGAGAATGAATCATTTACATTGAAGCAGAACTGCTGACTGCATTAATGTATACGTTGAATGTAGCCAATACAACCCCCCACTATAATGAATACTAACCGAAAGGTAACCTTAATCTCGACCGCCGCCGCAGCCTCATGCTTGATTGCCGCCATCTCATCATTCACCTCTAGTGCCGCCGCACGTCCCCTAATGGCAATTCCTGATGATGATGTTTAAGCTCTGGCCAAGTCAGAATCAGCGACCGTGGTGATAAAAGTGAAAGTTGATGATCACTTTGAAGTGGACAAAGACGCCTGCTTATAAATTGCGTTCATTGCAAGAGACCTTACAAGATGAACAAGATTACAAATACGAATCTGATCAATCACATTCGAGCCAAACATCTGACCAAGTTGGTGGCGCCTCTCCACGACTCGCAATGACGCTCAGGTGGTAAATTGGCCCAATGTCTACATTTGCTCTGGAGTCAGTATATGACATTAATTTGAGGCGGCACGTTTGAAGTGTCTTCTCCTAAATGATCAGCCATTTGATTTGATCGAGAGTAGAAGTTTTGAGTTCGACCAGAGCACTCGAATATTCGAAATTCGAATTGTTCGGTGGATTATAAAGGTCTCGAATGTTCAGTTTCGAATGTTCAGCCCGAATATTCGAATCGAATCTTCGATTTGCCCAGCCCTACAAGAAGGTATCTGCCTACGCGATCAGCATCATGTCGAAGAAGCTCCGCCTCGCCAAGACAGTGCGATAATTACCTCTTGAGTGTGATGTTCAAGGATGCCCCGACTTTTGTATGAGCAACTTTGGTATTTCTTGTCAGCATGATTTCCTCCGAGTTATATATTACCGATGGACCGGATGATAGGTTGTATCAAGCCGATATCCATGCCTATTGGTTTCTCGACAAAGCTTTTGTGCCTGTGAGTAATACGTCAGGGTGCAAGAATTAAAGAGCCTGTCACAAAACAAAACAAAATCATCCGACCAGGATCTTGACAGCCGAAGAAAGAAGCACCAAGCGAAAAAATCGATGTAGTGTACGTCGTGAGTACGGCCAAACAAATGCCGCTGCGCTCAACGTATTATTGTATCGAACAATCATGCATGGCAACAGGCGTCACAGGTAGGTGATATTGGCTTTCTTAACGTACTTGTCTAATTTATTAGTACCCATGATCTTCAACAGGCCACTATGGTCCTACATTTCAACGCTAATTCATGATAGTTGTCTGCCAAAGGTTGTCTAGTGTCAATTATTCGATGTCGTGTACTGGACAAGTGTATCCAGCAGTAGTATATAATAACCGATAAAGCATTGTTTCAAGTGTCTGGGTTACAAGGCCAGTTATATTCACAAATTGAATATGATCTGAGACGAGAAACCGCCCCGAGAAGACAATGCTACAATCAGTTGTATCGTGGATAGACTCCACCTCTTCCGGTGGATCACCGACATGTCACGGGGATACTATGGGCTACCAGGAAGTATCGAATTCAGTGCGTCATCTTCAATGTCCAAGTGAATGTCCCGCACCCGATCAAGTACATATTCAATATCTTTCCGGCCACTCTAAATACGATTAAGTTCACGGATATCAGCTACATTTGAAGAGAACCTACATTACTTCGAGACTAGCGCTTATATGATGGGCGCTTATACGATGAGGTGGTGATGGTGGTGCCACTTTAATGTTTCAAGGCAATTTTCGGCACGCCCCACCACTTCTCGTCAACGCACTGAATCTATACATGTTCTTCTTGCTTAAATCACGTTCTTCAGCGTTGACAGATATTATAGAAATGCTATACTTCAACAATCAATGCTATGACATGACACGAATTAACGCTTTAGATGTCTTTCCATCAATCCTTTTGCTGTATCAAGAGCATGCCAATTTCTGCACGCATCTACTTGTTTGTTGCAATATAAATGGATGGGGATGCCACGTATGTCATTGAGCTAATTTATTATACATGTAATCATGCACTTCGTATAGAAAGAATATATGATCGATTTGTAAAAGTACACATGCACGATATGCGTGTAAGTATCTAAGACAAGGTATGAGCACGTAGCTGATCTCGGTATAAGTTTAATTTCATTTTGAACCTTTATTACAATAGACTCGACACGCGTGATCCGGACCCCGTCTAATGTTGTTGTTGTTGTTGTTGCAGTTCACTGAGTCGTTCCGCCAAGTCTTCGTCTGCCAAAGCTCGAGCTATCAGAATCCATATACGCTCGAGGCTGGACAATTGATTTAACGGATGAGTGACTATGTAATAAAAATACCCATGCGCCGAAAAACCGTTAGATCTTAGCGGATAGCTGCAGATAAAACAGTGGCTTCGTCACCTTAGCATCTCCTGGTAGTACACATTTTCGCCAGTCCACTGCACATTATTGACCCCAGAGCGCTCGTTTGCATAAAAATTCAAAGAACAGGTACACTACTGTACCTTTTCAATCTAGCACGCTTCATGACGTAGACTAATCACCAGCTTGAGCGCGACAGCGTATCCGCACTTGTTTCCCAGTCATCCTGTCAAACGCGATAAAGATATGCCCAACATTAGTGTGTAGCTGCATATTGTCATCTTTTGTAGAGACATGCGCCATAGAAAAGAATCAGAAGACTGTCATGCTGAGCGACATAGTCTATCACTATCCCTAAATTCTTGTCCTGTGATCGCCTTCTGGATCCTGGCGTTGTCCACTGACCCCTGTACATCAACGAAACCGTTGACGCTGTGGTGTGCAAAACCAACGCGATTTATATCTTGTTCCGCCAGCAGGCGTGCTCAGTAGCAGTAGAGCTCGTCAACTCTGACATATCGCCCTGAAATTGAAGAAGAACTGATAAGCTATACTCAGAGCTGAATGTAGTATGTCGTAGGCGGATCACGGTCCTACCTTATCCCGATGATTTCGTTTTCGTAGGTCCGCGTACATTCATAGAAATGCAGTTGCGGTGGAAGGTGACACATCGAATGAAGGGCACGGCTGCTTGGGGCTAGTTCGACTCCTACTAAATCGCCGGGGGCGCCGGGCAGGGTTGTGGTTCTCCCACAAGTTTGGTTGCGTTCTTTGAGCTTCTCTTAGCGTGGAATTCGGTGCTATGTACCGCTGTCATTTTGCCATCTGTCAAGACGAACACAAATTACGAACCAAAAACAACTGATTATATGTATTTGTGTAGTTGATGATAGAGCTGGGCATGCGTAGTCATTCAGTTGGAGATGTTTAACGCGTCCCCCTCTGCGCACGTTTAGCAGCGAGTGGAATCGATTTGGCAAATATCATGGGTCATAATACAATGTGGACCCGAGCCGTACATGACTTCCAAAGGTAGCATTATCATATCGACTTGCAAGAGCAATTTTGTAAATAAGATAAAAATATAGACACATTCCGTGTCAATGACATGATACATGCTTCCCCGTTACATTTTATACGGGCATGATAAGCTTTACAAACACCTTACGATTTACCGATGCCTTGTCAGTACCTAGATCATTTATCCTGAATGAGAGGTATCCAACTTTTGTGAAGTGAGTATCGTCAGACACTTCGTCGACAGGGCGCAGCTCGTTGGTGCCAGCAGTGTAGACATCTCTGTTTGCTGCTTGTTCCCAAAGACCTTACATGCATCGTGCTAATATCTACCAAACAACTTATCGCCATTTTTTACTTCCTAAGATTGCCTCGATTCTGTCTTGGATGTACGATGCGGTTGACTTCATGCAGGTTTACTTGCGTGGTGATGTTACGATGCGACAACCAGCTAATACTATTATCGGTCTCCGTGCTATAAGCATCGAGAATGGCTAGTGGATCTTAGTGTTTGCCATCATTACTGCGAAAGTGGTAATTATACACGCGTGCAACGTAATTCTGGTGATAAGTCGGGTCATGCGATAGCGAGAGATAAAGCTTGTTAGGCGACGTTATAGTGAAAGCCACAACTAGTGACAACGTCCTTTTTGGGTAAGACTTCGTGATGTTATATGGACAAAACATACCATTATTCATTGAATGCAAGGATTCGTTTGGCCAGCTTTTTATGCACTATCATCCAGCCAGTGTCTGTAACCGAATACTTATTTATAGCGCCATTGGTCCTCGCGAAGATCTGCCGAGCAACTGCTGCAATCCCTACCGACGTGAGATAGGTATTGTGAAAGATAGGTAGCTGATCTGTAGTCATAGATAGAGTTCAGCAAGAAAGCACTACAGGTCCTTTGATATCTACAAATCGCTTGCAAGGTCCAACTAGCTTCTTCACTACCATCGCTTGATTTCGGCCATGACGCAAGCCAATCGCGGGTCCAGTAGAAGCGGACGAGCATCATGCTCGAGTTTTGATCGCTCGACAGTCACACTATTCCAAATTATTATATGGGTAAGTGTGTCAGAAAGTATCCAATGTCAACGTATCAGCAAAGTTGCTCTCTTTGCCTTGTTGTTTCGTACCAACTATTGTATAATAAAATTTGACGAAAGAGGTTTCGGACACAGTTTTTTTCATGCTGATTCCTTCACATATTGACTGTGTCGGGTACTCTTCTGCGATCGTACTTGAAAGGCTTTTGTCCTTTCCGTGATACGTATGATATGTTCGTGACAAATGTATGTCCTTCAGCAAAAAGTATATAAGCCGTTCGTGTCATCCTTCGAAGATAATATCGATCCAGTAACGTGAGCAAACGGATGGAGAGACGTTCCCAATTTGTCGAAGCGCTAAGGAGTCTGAGAACCTCAACATCTGTAAACTTAGTTTATAAATGACACAAAAAAGAAGGTATTGCACAGTACTATCGGGTAATGGCGTTCTCAAAAACTAGAACTGAGCATGTCATTTGTTTCTTGACAGATGATAAAATGATCACCTGCGATTCGCACCCGTCCCGTTTCACCCTCGTTTGTCAAACGATACATTGACTAATCCGACACTTCCATGGGCCGATCAAGTGGTGTTTTCGTCGAATAAACAGGACAATGTGTTGACCGTCGACGACGATGAACCGACTCGTCATGGCGATGCTCGGCACGTGATCTTGCTGATCTGGTGCAAGATACGTGACACGTACTCGCCACGTCTCTTCTACCGTATAGTGAGCTACGGAAGAAAAGGGACGCAAAAGTCATGTGAGTACTGTTGGAACGCGCAGCTTCCATTTGACTTTGTCAAAGTACTGGCAAGTGCCGCCTGACAGGCGTCTTCAATCACCACTGCTTTACAGAACAGATACCGGAATTTGCACATGACAGAGACGCCCGCATGTACAATCGTGCGCGTCAAAGTGACCAAAGTGACGAAGCCGAAATCGGTGGGGGCTACTTCCACCACGAAAGCCCTTGCTTTGATGTGGTGCCTAGAGGCCGACAACATGCCAAGTAGTGCTAGCAAAAAACTGGGTTGTAGTGCTCGTTCGAGATGCTCAAGGCTGTGCACATCAGTCGTCTTGCGCAGGACAAGAGTGTTGGAACCCGGCGCAATAGCTTACCGAGATGGCGTACTCACACGCCACGAAACCAACCACCCTGCATTGCCGGTCAACGGAATCGAGACATGTGGTCACAGCAGACTCCTGGACTGTTGCTGGCACACTACTGTTTCGTGGTGTCGCACAGACGCGGTAGCGGCAAGGTTGTCTTCGCACGTGGCACTGTCTCCAGTCATTGCGTTTTTGCCGACAACAGTTTTTTTGCCAGTCAGGAACTTTCGGCGAACCGAAACTTCGTCAAATCACATGACACTAAATCAGGCATTTCTGGTTGCGTCACACGCTGTAAGACTTGATCGTTGCCGTCTGTACGTTAACAAACTACGTAACACGAGTAGCAGAGACGATAGTATGGAAGTAGTCGGTCTGTGGTACTGCCCGAGCGTCACTGCAGCTTCCCTATGGCTCTTCACTCTTCTCCTTCTACCAACATTGCACACAATCGGTTAGTGTCAACGCACAGCGCAGACGTACAGTGTCATTAGCACACTACCTTTTTGTCGCTCATCGCCCTGGTCGACCTAGTCTTCTCTGGCCGACTCAGCAGATTGTTGAAGAAGTTCTGAAGATGCTTGGAGCTGACGTCCTTCTCGTCACGCTTTCGGCGATCTGCTGCCACACGGCGAGCGGCTGCTGCCTGCTCTGACTTCTTGCTTGCCTCGATGCTTTGCTTTTGCAATTCTTCCAGACCTGCACCAGCAGCCTTCTCGAGTTTCTCCAGCCACTGCTCGTGGCTATCGACATGGACGTCAGCAGCCAGCGCTGCCACACCATCATCGGTGTCGTCCGTCGGAGCAGGGACGATCTTTTCATACGGTTTGTCTGTAGGCCAGCGAGCCTGTGAGCCCGCGAGACTAGTGTCGACCAATTCGAACGAGTCGTAGCCAGACGGAATGAAGATGGTGTTGTGGTCCACCAATTGCGGCGGCTCCGTGAACTTGAATGTGGACGGATGCGCACGATGCAGAATGTACTTCCGAAGAGTATCCACATTTGAGCCAGTCTTCGCTGATGTGAACACCACCGACGCTCCATCTAGTTGTCGAAACATGAGCCAATAACGTGAGTGATGGCACAATCACATACGATACAGTGTCGAGGAGTCTTACATCGAATCGCAACGCGGCGAAGCGTGTACTCGATGTAATCCATTTTTACAGAGTTCTCCGGACGCAGCTGTAACACAGCACACATCACCGGTAAACCTCCATCATGCATGCACTATATCAGTAGTTACACGTACGTCTGCCTTGGCCACAACAAATATAAGAGGCACGCCAATGTTCTTCGACAAGACGCCTTCTTTCATCTATCGTAAAAGAGATGTCAGCAAAACTGGTGCTACTTACTGCCTGCGACATGCCAGGTACATGCAGAAAGCACATACAAACTCGTTTGTAGACGTATCCATAGGCGTTGGTGCAGAGTGGCCAATGCTCTAACACGAAGCAACAATGTCGCATACACAACGAGCGCACAAAACACTCAGTATCTACCCTCCACATGTTCATCTCCCACTCCCAGTCTCGCGTACCGGATCTTCGTAGGCCAGTACATGCTGCTTTATCGACGCATACAGTTCGTTTCTTGCCTCAGAGGTCAACTGGTTAATCTGATCCAGCAATTGGCCTTCCAGAGCCGAAAGCCACTGCTCCAGTGAGCTCTTGATCGTCCATGGACGCGATAAATCCAGCACAATCGCTACAACCGTCTATCAACAGAGCAAATATATGCAGTTACACCCGTTTATTGTGAGTATTTGCTCGCTTGCTTCTCCTTTTCCATCTGTCTTCGTTCCAATCAATCGACAACCACCACCTTCTGGAGCGTCCGAGGCTTTGCCACCATCTTGATCAGGTCCTTGAGACTCAAATCGTTCAGACTCCACGTCTCCACGTGTGCAATGACATCGTCTGCCACCCCACGCGCGAAAAAACAAACACCATCAGTACGACGTTTCAACACAGCATAGCAACAGACACATCGTAAACGCGCTTGGATGCCCCATCTTGACACGACACGAATGGCAGCATCGCCTGTATGTCCACACGACCGAACCTGATTCCTGACTTGCCCCGCTCTCTTTTGCACGCGGGTCCAGTACGTCGAGCGTCTTGAACGCCATCAGCGTATCCACTGCGTGTGTGGCCCCTTCCGCCTCCGAAGACGTCGCTTTGGACTCGTCCAGACACGCTACGAGCGCAGACTTTCCGCTCTCGGAGTCGCCCACCAGTAAGAGATTGACGGTCGGCAGCTTGGAGCGCACGGAGCAGTCCCGCAGCATCTGCTGCCATCGCTCCGTCACCTCTTCCGCCATCTTGTTGTGGGAAGGAAGCGGCGCTGCTGATTGGCTAGTAATGTTCAAATAATAATCTATGACATGGCAGCTACAAATCGTTTCCCGGGAACGGCTTTTTGAGTCTTTGGATTTAAATTTCGTCATAGGAATGGCCTCAGTATCACCGGACTTTTCGACCATTTTCAGCTACGAATGCCATACGAACGGAGCTCTATAGATTCGGTCTCTGTGTGTACGCGTGTGTCACTACATTACGTCTGGCAGACGTTTCTTCGAACGTCTTCTCGATAAGAAAGTCGGTGTTGGAGACTTGATCCTATACTGCGTCAGCAAGATTGGCACTTTGTCGCTTCAGCGCTAGGACAGCATAATTCGCCACGCAGTAGCTAGATGCTGACGCCTCACGCTGTGCCCGATACAATGAGAGTCACGCTGATAAAAGTGACTCTGCACTTGGTATGCGGGCTCATGACCTTCGTGCTCGTGTCTTTTGCCCAGGTCAACCGATCGTTAAATATTTTGCAATGAGATACCTGGCCAAATCGTTGGCCCCGCTACAGGTGCAATAAAAGCGGTGACAAGCGAAAGTCAGCATTGTCCACGGAGACCGATGTCGGCTGAGTGAAATGAACAAACGTACCTCTGCTTGTAAATGAGCGAAAGGTTGTAAGCCGTCTCCTTGCAGATCATGTATTCTGGAGGTACCTCACAATTTTGCTCCTCTTTCGCCGCGAAAAATCGCAGCACTCGCTCGTACATTGGTATGGCCAAGTGATACAAACCCTAGCGCGAGAAACGACAATCACATACAGCAACAGACGAGCGCTTAGTCGACTAGATGCAACACTGCTGCGATGAACATCCAGCGATCATAAACGCACCAACTGCTGGTGAGCGCGGCCGATATTGTACCAAGCTTCGACCTGGCGAATCTCTGACGTGATGTCACTCGGAGCGGCGACACGAACATGCTCGTACTGTTGCAAAAACGCAAAAGCCTTTACCACAGTGTGCTGCCGGTCGTTGATAGTTCGTTGCATTGACGCAGATAGGAAGGCCAAGCCGATGCAGAAAAGAGTGAGGGGGTCGTTCGGGTGCTTCTGGTGAGCAAGGGTCAGTTCTCCAACCGTCAGCGATGCGATATCCCACGCTGACGACTGGTGACCGGCAAGCAAAATAGCCGGGTAGCTTTCGGGATGCTCACGCAATAACTTTGCTAGGAATTTCTGGTGCCAAGAAAACACACCAGTGATAGCGATTACGCGCGAGAATAAGTTCCAGTAGCCCAGATTTTGTGGATCCTCCATGATGTTCAACCGTGCGCACTCGTACGCCATTCGGTTTTCCCTGAATTCCAGAGCGACCACAAGCGCTAAAAAGCGTAGCTCGAAGCGCAGAACGGGCTTGGAAATTTTGTCCGATGTATTCACGTCCGTCAAAAGCTCGATCGCTGCCACATACTTGCCAAGCTCGGTGAGGGTTTGTGCAACATCAATTACCAAGTTGTAGTATTGCTGCTCGCCAAGAGCACGGGAAATCACAATTTGCTGAGCCACGCGCATGACGATTCCCATGAACGATTCGCGTTGCCGCGGGTCCGTAATGTCCACCAGGTACTCAGATTTGAGCACCTGGAAGCCGACGGACTGAGCATCGCTCTCGGGAACCACTTCACGCGCTTCTACTAGTGGATTTCTTACGCGGCCAGATAAGCGGAATGATGTCTGATTAAGAGATGTGAGTATGATGGGGATGCCGACTCGGCACAGCACTTCAGCCTCGCCTGATAGCTTTTTCAGGTGACCAAACTCAATCAGGAGTTTCAGACGAATACCGTTTTCCATAGCATCGACAGACAACGATGGATCATGAGCCATTTCCATTCGCGTTTGGTCATCAGCATCGTCTTCTTCGTCTTCGTCTTCTGCATCTTCTTCGAGTTCATCGGCGTCAAGGTCTTCATCCTCCTTTGTATACTTTTCAGTTTCTCCATTTGCTACTACTGCGCCTTGACCCTTTTCTTTTCGTGAAGTATTGATCCAATAAGGCCGGATCGGAGGACGCATTGTCTCTGGCAAATATTTCTCAAGTAACGCGATGCCCTCGTGCGGGCAACTTTTCTTCCGCGTAGCTTGCATTGCCTGTAACATCAATTCCGGACTTACTGTCAAGTCTGGTGATTGCCGTTGGTAAGCCAATGCCTTCTCGTAATACTCCACAGCAACGTCATAGATACCCAGACGATCATGGCATGCAGCAAATTTGATCCAGATCTGCTCGATCAAAAACTCTTCTCGGCCTAGAAGCTGCTGAAGGATGGATGCAGCTTCTCGATCCTGATCTCCAAGCGCGATGTACGCATCCGCCACATCGAGATACAGATCGCCAAATACCACTACATCTTGGGCAAACAAATGCGTAAACATGAACTCAGCCGTGACGAAATCCCTCTCAAATAGGTGGCAGATTCCATACTTCACGGCGATATCTAGTGGCAAGCCTCCCGGGTCGCCCTCGACTTGGTCAGGGTCCTGAGCTGATGAATACCGCGCATGAAGGTGGTGAATCACGTTAATGGCTTCACGATATTTCTTCAGTGTGATATACAAGTCTGCTAGCATATTCACAGCATTGAGCTCGTACTTTGAAGAATGCAAACCCTGCGTTTGGTCCAGCGTCGCAGCTTTTTCGATACACATTTTGAGCGCATCAACGGCCTCGTCTTCTTGCCCATTGCAATGATACGCCTCTGCGATTTGAATCCACAGCGACAGATCCTTTGGTATCAGCACAGTCAGTTTCTTGAAAACTTCAGCTGCTCGTCGATTATCGCCTTGTTCGCGGCACAATTCCGCATAACTAAACAGTGCTTCTTTGTCTTTTGGGTCCGCCGTGCTCGCCTTTTTGAAGCAAAACAGCGCCTGATCAAAATTCTTTTCGTCCTTTGCGATGCGACCCACACGCTTCCAAAGCTCGGCGTCTTGCGGTGTCAGCGTGCACGCAATCAAAAAGAACTGCAGCGCTTTGATACGGTCCTGGCGGTCTTCATAGATCATTCCCAGCGTATGGTACGGGTCCGGGATCGTTGGCGCTTTCTTGATAAAGTCCTTGAGCAGCGCAATGGCCTCGTCATACTGATGCGACGCATAGAGCATATTGGCTTCGCCCAGTACGTTGGCCAGCTCTGGCGGCACTTTGGTGGCTGTGACGCTGCGTTTGCCGGTTGGACCACCTCTTCGTCGCCGTCTGCCTGGCCCACTGCTCCCGCGTCTCCTGCGCCTGCGGGACTTCCCCCACAGCTGCCGTTCGATATCCGAATCCTCCTCCTCTTCACCTTCTTCCACTCCTTCCTCGTCGTCTCCGCTGGACTGCGGTACGTATACGTCGTCGTTCTCTTCTGCCAGAGCTATGGAGCAATCAATCGGTTGGTTGTTAGGGAATGCAACACTTGGTAGTTATTACCACGACCCAAAAAAACGCTTTTGTCAATGTACCGTCAGGATGCGGCATGTCGTCGTCCAGTAGATTCAGCTGCGCATCGACTTGTCCAGCTTCGACCTGCGAGACCGCTTGCGCGTCGCCCATTGCCGCTTCGAGCAGCGACCGGAACGACATGACTGTCACACGAGCGAACACAAAGTAAGTATCCGGCGCCGTGTATACTTGTGTTTTTTACAATGCACACACACACACACTGTTTAAAACAATTTCGGTTGTTTTCTTCTGCAAAACAACGATTACAATCGTTTCGACGACACTGACGTCGCTGCTCGAATTTCGCTTCGAGGCCCAATTCAGCGTGTGACAAACGAACTACTGTGAAATTGCAACATGAGCACTGCCAAGAGCCTGTCGTGGCCGGAGGTGCAGGAGATCTGCAGCCAATTAGAAGGCATGTTCCACGACGACGCACTCAAAGACGCCCAGCGGCTACGGGCGCTCCTCCAACACCGCAAGGACATTGCCAGCGCGTTCCACGACCGCCAGCGCTCAGCTCAGAAGCTGCTCGCTCGTAAGTAGAAAAGGAGCACCGGACCGCAATAGTATGTGCACGATCGGAGGGTGTTTATGTGTTGTCATTGCTCGTGTCTACAGATCTGCGTGCCAATCTGAGCGAGTGGGAGCAGAAAGAAGAGGTGGCCAAGAAGCGCAATGAGCAGCTGCACGAGCGTCTGCTGCAGCTGGACACGACGAAGCGCGAGGTGACTGTGCAGCTGGACCGCTTCCGACTGAACGAACAATATCCTTTTCATCGTACTGAATGCATCCTGTGTCTCGTGGCTGCAAGCTGTGTTGCCTTGTCGTGGACGGGCATTTGATCGCAATGGTTATCCTTAACCTGCTCTGTCGATTATTTGATCCGGTTTGACAACTTCACGACCTCGAAAGAGTCGCTGGATGTGCTGATGAACAGGTATGAAGAAGCGAAACAAGAGCTCCTGCAGTATTATGCTGATCATCAAAACGACATTCCAGTGGCAAAGTATGTGGCGGCTAAAAGAAGAGAAGCTGATGGTGGACGATAAAGTCGCTGCTTGCATACGGCGGCTGTGCTAATGCTGGCTGTGCTAATGATGGCTGTGCTAATGGTGGCTGTGCTGTGTAGAAACCAAATGGGTCTTTATGCCGCGGTCACAGGAATTCGATGGGACTTTAGTGACCTGCAGATTGCAGGAGGTAAGCAAACGAGACGGTACATTCGGGGTCGAATATACTGACAAACTGTTGTCGACGGGATGATGCAACAGATATCCACGTACCTGCGAAGAAGCAACTCGTCCGATTCCACATCGACTCTGCAACCGACCATTTCGCCGCTGCGAACTTGCTGTGGGACAAGATTGATGAGGCGTTTGATGACATCGACAGCGAACGTTAGAAGGACCAACAGCTACTTGAATGCATCGAATGTTTGATGAGATCGGCGGACGCTGCTGACGTTGTTTGGTGCTGTCATTACATTTACCTGCACTCGACGTGGCTGCAAGTACTGGCGCTACTTTGCATAGCAGTTTATGGAGGAGACTAGCTATCATTGCTCAAACAAAAGTAAGTCCTGCAAAGTTACTGTTGCCAAAGATCGGTGCACTTCACTCTCTCTTGGCTGCGAAATGGCTGAGCTGGCAGCACAACCAAAGTGGACTTGATAGAGCGGTTGTGCTGTAGCTGCGCCTGTCAAGCTATCGATTGAAGTGTCCATCATATGATAAGCATCGACGCCAAAATTCGGTTTGTAGCTTTCTTGAGAGTCGACACGCACCACCTATTTTGGTATCGATCTGGCGATGACTGCTACGTCTTTATAGATTGGATTGCTTCTATGTATTGCAGACACAGTGTATCGTAATCTGCTCACATATTTTAAGCAGCATGCTACACCAGTATTTCTTGCTAGTCATATAAGATATTTTGCAGTGCCGAACATTGCAATCGGTGGTTCACCCGTGATAATTCACATCTTGAACTGACAAGAGCCGTATTGACAGAAAATTCCACAGTTTTGCAAAGCATTCGACGTTTGTTTTGCCCAATAACGTAAAGTAGTGATCAAATGGCAAGATATATCTGAAATGATGGATAAAAATGAACAATTCACCGTATAGGAACTCATTTTGCCTGGTTCTGGCGTGTCAAACACGTCATGTAACGGGTGAGCCTTGTTGGAAGTGCAACTAGCACTTGGATCGACTCCAGAGATCTAATCTACGCTAGGGCATATGCGGAATGTTCTATAGGGTTCTATGTTTGGTATCAGGCACCAAAAAGATGTAGGTCGGTAGTTCTCACTTGTATTTTGACAAGCCAGTGACGAGCCCCCTGGCGGGGGACGAAAACGCGTCTGGCGCGCAATCAAATACAATTCATTTCCTTTACTTAATGTTTACTTTCGAACAGGTTATGAGCCCAAAAGGTTTAGACAGGAGAAGTGATGACGGCTCGCACCCGCCATCATCTAATGTCGTCTACGAGACAGTTGTCGCATCTTCAGTGAGCGTGGATTTCGCCGCTGATGCTCATGGAACGGGCGAAGACAACAATGTGAATGCGACGATACTCGCCGCCCTGGAGGGTCTCCAAGACCGTCCGGGGGGAAGACTGAAAGTCTCTCAGAGTAAGCGGGGTGAAGAGGAGCGCATGCAAGGTGACATTGAAAACGGTATCTTTGGTAATTCACTCGGACGAAGTTTAGATGCGTAGTGCATGGGAGTGGGTGCACTTTATCACACGCCGCCGAGGCGTGTACAGGTCTACAGAAGTCCGGCGCAGTCGTACTTTGGGCAAACCCACACAACGTGAAGATGTTGTTATTGGTTTAGCAAATTGAAAAGTGAATTTATTTATGTCCTTAGTTCGCAACTTCTTCTTGCAACTCTAAGCCTACTAGAGTCTATGACTACACATCAGGAATCGCCAATACGCGCATGGCTAATCGTATAGTCGCTCATGAGTAATCGATACAACGCGCATTACATATGAGATAGGCGCGCATGAGTAACCGCCGATACGCGCATTACTCATTGGATGGGCGCGCTACTGGTCGCCATACCGTAACTTTCGTCTATCGCTTGCTCGCCGAGGCGCATCTTCAACAACAGAAAGAGGTCCACGCGTTTAGCTGCGGAACGGGGCACATACTGAGCTATCGCCACCTCAAATATCCCTGCCTCAGCAGATGCCGATGCATCAGCAGCAACGAATTTTCCGGAACCCCGATGTTGGTCAGTGTCCATTTCATGTACTGGATACACGTCAGCGAAAGCTTGGGAAACGTATTTTTGATGGAAAAGAGCTCTACCAAGGACTTGGGTCCGCTTTTTTCAGAAATGATAAGAAATTTGCTCGACAAGTCAATCTGGAGCAGCTCGCATGTGCTGTTAAGTGGAGCGAAGAGATCAAAGCAGATCTGCTGGGACACCATCTTAGTGGAACAGTTGAACGGTACTTCAACAAGCAACTTGAGGCATGATGGAACGAGAATTCTACGCTTAAGCGCGTCGTGGAGAGACTACACCAGACGTTTAAGACCACAATGACTCCAGCGCAGTCAATGAAGTAGCTGACACGTAAGAAGTACCCAAAGAGGTCATGGCCAAAGCACTACCTATATCTGGTTGCTGGAAGTGACGCGTGTGGAAGTACCGAGTAGATTCCGATGAACAATGTGGTGCAGTATGATTCAAATAAGCTATGCACTGTTATAATGGCGAAATACGATCACACGCGTACTATCTACTTGCGACAGGAAGAAGGATTGTCATATTTTGATCAGTCAGTGGAAAAGGACATGACAAGCTTTCTCTGGTTCACGACGCGTCCGCTCTCTATCTTTGTGTGCGCCAGAGTTCTCCAACTAAGCAGTCGACTCTTCGCTGCTGGTCGTGCTAGTGCTTGCGTACTGTGATGATAGTTGTGAGCTGAGAAATATAGTGACGTGTTTACCACTACCACTGACATGCATTGTTTCCTCTCATAATCTTGCGTCTTCCTATGGACCTGACATCATCATCGGCTACTACAACAATGTATATGATTAACATATACCTGGCGTGATCAGTATCACGAGAAGTATTGGCGACAGCAACGGTCGACCTGCAACACTCCTCCTCACCTTGATGATCTGCTCATTTTGTAACTCGCGCTTCGTCACTTGAATTTGGCATCTTAGCTCCTCGAATATGTGATGCTGTAGCGGCTTGGTCAGAATATCTCCTAAGCTGGTCTTTACTGGCACACCATTTCACACTCACGCATCCCATGCTAGTTTCATCCTTGATAATTGATACCTTAGAGAAATGTTTTTTGCAACAGCTGAAACCATCTCGTTCTTCATCGTTCGTATCGCGCTTTGGTTGTCAACCATGGTAATTGGGACAATTTCAATGCTGAGCAGCTCTTGAAGAGCTTCCTGGTCCATCCACAATCAGACACACTTGTCGCACCGGCGATGAACTCTGCTTTGATAGTGGACATACCAACAACGGCTTGCTTCTTTAAACTCCACGCTATCGACCGTCCATTAACCTCAATGAAGGCGCCGCGCGTTAATTTTTGGTCGACTTGATCACCAGCTCAATAATCATCGGACCAAATGTTGACCTCTGGGTTTTCAACTGATAAAACCTCACTTGCCTTCCAGTAGCGCAAATCGCGATCCAATGTGCCCTTGAGATAGCAAAATTTTGTTTGATCAGCTCTCAATGGCACTTACGTTGCTTCTCGCGGTGTGTTATCGCAAAATTTATAGCATACGCTGTTTCCGGTTGTGTAGGATTTGCAATCCAAAGTAGCGCCCCGAAAGCCTCACGTATGCGTTATAGGTCCACTAGTTGCTCACTGTCAGTAGCATTATAATATGTGTTGGGATCCATTGTAGCTGTGACAGTTCTGACATGTTCAAGATTGAACGCGCGGAGTGCGCCACAAATTATGCTCTGCTGAGACAAAAAATAGCTTTGCGGGGTCTCGTACACTGCGATACCAAGAAATTTCTTCACTGTTCCGAGCATCTTGATGCTAAAGCTCTCTTCCAGCTCTAGTGTAACATCGCGCAGCTCCTCCTCGTCATGAAAGGCGATCAGCACATCGTCCACGTAAATTCTAAGGAATATCATCCGCCCGTTTTTTCTGCGCCTGTGATTGATGCACGGGTCCAGACTTGACTCGATAAAAAGAACTGTATTCATCGTTTCATTCCAGCAGCGATCCGATTGTTTGAGTCCATACAATTTCTTTAGCAGCTTGAGTACCTTACCCGCTTCGACGTCCAGCTCTCCGGGTGCCTTCATGCAGATGAGTTCGCGGAGCAAACCCTTCACGCAGGCATTAGAAACTTTGTCATGAGTCAATCTTAGTCCAAGCAAACTTGATAGTGCAAAACATAGACGCACACTGCTCATTTTGATGACCGGTGCAAATGTCTCCGAGAAACTAATGCCGTACTTCTGGATAAACCCTCGAGCAACGAGTCTTGCTTTAAAGAGCTCAACGTCACCATCAGCATCAAACTTGGTCTTCAAAACCCATTTGCTGTCGAAGATTTTCGTATCCTTGTTTGGTTCGTCAACATCCTTCTAAGTGACATTTTCGACGAGTATATCGAGCTCTGCCGTCATCGCATCGATCCAGTTCTGTCTTATAGGAAGAGGTATGGCTTCTTTGACGGATCTTGGACCTTCGACTCGTACAACCACCATTGCGGAACCTTCATCATATCGAGCAGGCGTAACGACATGATGACGCTCACGTCGTTCTGCCAGCGATTATATTTCATCAGTTTAAGCCAACCCCAATTTCTTCGCAACCAGAAACGCTCGATTCATCTTCACTTGGACTCGGTATGCTATCTTAGTCAGATATGTTGCAGGTGGGTAAATCATCTATAGCACGTAGATCTTGTGGATACCCTTCTTGGCCGAGTTGATCGACTGGACATGCTGCTATACTAAGGTCTTCTTAGTGCGTTTGACAAATATGAGACGTCCCTGGACCTTATCATCATACCCGATGAATATTCCGTGCTCACACTTCTTTCGTGTACCCATGGACTTACTATTGACATGAACCGTTACTTTCTGAGCCCACTTTAGTATGCTACTAACGTTGGGCTTGTGTCCGGTCAGAGCTTCAACAGGCGGCTTGTTTCCGCCATTTTTACGTGTCGAAGTCGTTTTCTTACCCATGACTGATGTCGTAGTGCTTACGACCACAGAAGCTAGGCTTCTCGGCAGCGACATTTATCATAACCCGTATGCCGTCAAACAAAGTTCTGTGGCGCCTATCCACCTTTCCATTTGAAGACGATTCGTCTGGTTTTGTTAGATGCAGATGGATACCGCGTTTTGCACACCACGACCTTATCTTGTTCGTGTCAAATATATT